ATATATATATATATATATATTTATATTTATATATATATATCGTTTCAATAGTATTAAGGATAGTGGTAACAATAACAATGATAGTAATAATAGTAATATATTTGGATGTATGTGGTTATGCTCTTCGTATATGGGCAGCTAATTTCTTCCGAGTGTTTTTGAAATGCAACTCGTATCTGGTAAAGTGAGTTACATATCGGAAGGTGTTTGCAAGATTTTATGTTACAGTCTTAACTCTCAGCACGATCTAGCGAATATTTCGGTTTTTAAAGTTTTAGCGTTGCGTGGAGCTCAATTTTTCTTTAATCAGTTTTTGGAGACACCTTTTTTCTTGTCACAGTGATCGTTACGGAATAACGCGAATTTTTCGCTTAAGATCAACGTACAATAAGTATTTTGGAGTTGGAGGAAATTCTGCCTTTTTTCAGATGGCAAGTGCGTCTCAGATACCGGCGTCTGAATTGATTAAAGGGGGTATTGGTTTAGGAGATGTACAGGAATCTAGGAAAACGAAAGATGAGTACAGGAAGCAAAAGGTTCATTTTTGAAATTTGTTTTTGAGTATTAATGGTTAACTTCAACAAATCCTTCCTTTTTTTTTTGAAATGTTTTCTATAACTTCTGTTCTTCATTCATGATTTTGACTGTTTGCTACGGTTTTAAATAAACTCCTACGTATTTGAGGACTTGGAAGAGGAGCGAAAGCTTGGTATTGCTCCAGCCATGGTCGACGTTGAAACGGGAAGAGATATTAACCCTCATATACCTGAATTCATTGCAAAGAATCCTTGGTATGTGCCATCCTCAGGTCCGACGCTCAAAGTAAGTAGTTTGGATTGTTTCTTCAATGTTATTTAAGTGATAATTTGTTCTTTACTTTTTTACTCCGCTTGTGCTGACTGGAATGACATCAAAAGCAAAAGCTAATTTAGCATCAAAGGCCACATCCTGAAAGGCAGGTAAAAATGTCAACCATAGACAGTTGGTATCGGAGAGGACCGACCAATAAGGTTGCGACAAAGTTTAAGGAGGTACCGACGGTTTTTGGAGGTTCTTCCAGTAATTCATAATTATGATATATAAAATAAGCAATTGTCACACTTCTACTATTTAATGCTTTTATCTAGTCTTTGAATTTTGACAGGGAGCCTGCGAAAATTGTGGGTCAATGACGCACAAGAAGAAAGAATGTTTTGAAAGACCTCGTAAAATTGGTGCTCGTTGGACGGGAATGAACTTTGCTTCTGATGACTACGCACAAGTAAGTAGTGAAAAATTAATTCTGATTGCGCTGTACATTCGACTTGTTCAACTTCTTTTGATTACTCGCAGTTGTTTTGTCTGCCTACAAATTTTTTTCAGCCAGATTTGAAATTAAATTGGGATGCAAAGAGAGATCGTTGGAATGGTTATGATCCCGGCACGTATAGCCAGGTTGTTGAAGAATATGAGAAAAGAGAACAAACGAGGAAGCAACTTCGTGAAGCAAAGGTTACTTCCTTAGTAAATTTGACGTAGTCTCGAATTTTTTTGTTTTGAACTTTAGTAATAATATTATTGCGGAATGAATTTTATTTGTTTAGATGGCAGAGGGGAAGGTAGAAGAGGACGACAGCAAAGGCGAACAAACGGCAGATGAGGATATGTATGCTGACGACGCAGATATGGCGGGCGTTACTGTTGATATGGATTCACGAACGCGAATAACAGTGAGGAACTTGCGTATCAGGTTTGGCTGTCCTGTTATGATTGCTAGAGTTCTTAAATGTTTTACGTTTGACTAGGCATTATTTCTGCAATTTTTTTGCGTGAGACATTGAAAACGAGATAAAAGATTCTATACTTAAAATTTTCAGGGAAGATACAGCAAAGTATCTTTACAATTTGGATCCAAATGGCCCCTATTATGATCCAAAATCACGTTCAATGCGGGAAAATCCGTTTGCGGTCAGTAGACATTGAAAAGTTTATATGATTTTTGTTATTTATTTTCAGTTGTAAATTAGGTTAGTTTCGTTAACCATCAGCATTTCATTAATGGCTGCTTTTTGTTTTCCTTTTTCATGTAGGAAGCCTCTGGGAATTTTTTTTTTCAGAATATGCCTGGAAAGGAGCGTGAGGCGGCTAAATTTGCCGGCGAGAATTTTATACGTTATACTGGGGAAGTCGTTCAGGCTAATGAAGCCCAAGTATTTGCTTGGCAGGCGAGATGCAAAGGTAATCAGTGATTTTTTTTTTGATCTTTATATATTTGCTGTGAAAAAGTTTTTGGAAGCGCCAGTGTTTTCTGGTAAGTTGTAAACATTACTGTTTTTCCACTAGAGCAGTTTTGAAAAAATTTCAGGCATTGATGTGCATGCCTTGGCCGAACCTACGAAATTGGAAGCTATGAAAAGGGAATATGAGAAACAGAAGATAGGTTCCAAGAAGGAACACAAAGAGAAACTATTGGAAAAATATGGAGGAGAAGTAGGGCTCCACATCCAGTTTTTTTTATTTTTAATTAATTATGTATGACTGCGTGTTGGCTTCTTTGAATAATTTGTTGCTTTCAGTTTTAGCGAAATTGTGATTTTTTAAAACTAACGATAGGACCTTTAGGAGTATTTGGATGCTCCACCGAAGGAGTTGTTATTAGCACAGACAGAGAACTACGTAGAGTACAGCAGGAAAGGAAAAGTAATAAAGGGGGAAGAACGTCCAGTTGTTAGAAGTCGTTATGAGGAAGACAAGTATTTTTTTAAACATTTTCAACTTTTTAGAAATTGTATCATTGTTTAAGTTTATTGAAAATGAATAACTTAATGGAAATACTTTTCATATTAATATAGGTTTACTTTTGACCTCAAAAAGCCATTTTTTCAGAATAATTGATTTTATTTTTGGCTGCAGAGGTAAAATCTT